GGGCGGGGCGGGGTGCGGGGCTGTGCGCTGCTTGCGGGAGCTCAGGACAGAAGCCGGTTCCCGCGCTGGGTGCGTTGGCCGGTGCGTTGCCCGTTACTCGTCGTTCCCCCGCGTTGGGAAGCACGAACGTTTAGTTGCGGGGAAGATATGTGCGTGTCTGTGGGGGTTTCGTAAGAGCCGGGGCGCGAAGCTTTATTAGTTCTGTCTTTGCTAATCTTGTGCAAAAATCCAGTTGCAAACATTAGAGAACTGTTATTTTTCAACTGGCCGCAGTTCGTTTTGTAACTATGAAATCAACCTTAAGAAAATACAGAAGGACAAAAAAAAAAACGAAGTCTACACCACTTTTACGATACTTGATGCAAAGCATTTGTTGATGTTTCCGCCTTACGACTGTGAGAAATAAAGGATTTTCTGTGCAGGACCACCTCGGCTGGTCCCCGCTAGTTACTGCTGCGTGGTGTTTTCTTAGAAGCGTCTTCGTGGTTTTGTTCTTTAAGAGTGAAATAATGTCTTGCCTATGTTTTGTAGTTGGTCTTTGAGTTGTTCTGGTGAATGGCTGTAGTGATGAGATTTTTAATAACAAAAATAGTAGACCGTATGTATTTTTTTACACAACAAAAAGTATGAGACTGGCTAAGCCTAAGAATAAAGGCAGTCTTCAGCTCAATGTAGCATTAAAGCATGAGCTCCAGAATTATATAGATTAATCTGAAACCTACTAGATTTAAACTTTTTGTGCTAATACATTTTATTGATTTATTTATAAACCTTGGATATTTCCACTTCTTACTTTGTGTGGGTAGAAACCTGCAAGCTTAAGCACAATTACTTCTAATCAAATCTATTAAAAGGAAATGTGTAGAACTTCAGAACAGCAATCGGGGATGACACTAAATTTTTTTAGGGGTTTATGGCTTTTGTAGGCAATAAAAAGTTTGATCGCTAAAAGACAGAATGCTTGGAGCTGTGGAGTCTTGTTGAATTTTTTTTTTTTTTTTTTATGGTCTAAAGGACTCTGTATTTGCAAACTTAAGGCCGCAATGCTGTACCTAAAACCCATCTTAAGTTTTTGTTAGTGGAACGGGTAATAGCCAAAGATGTTCTGGCTAGGTTCATTTTTTCTCAGAGCAAGCTGTGTTTTTGTAAAAACAAAAATTTCTTTTCTCTGCTCCTGAGGTCAGCTGCAAAACTGAGCAAACAAACAAAAAACAATCCCAAAAGTTTTAAGTATTCAAAAAAGCTAAGCATATTCAGACTAAACCAGTAAATCCTAGTAATTATTCTCATTTTCTGTCTGAGCGTACATACATGCGGACACGGAGATGGTAGTAATGTCTGATCTCTACCTTTGCCTGTCTTTTAACTATGCAAAGGTCTGAGAAAGCTCCAGGAGTTTGATGGATTCTCTTCAAGTTTTGGCAGCTCTGGCTCTTGGGAAATGTTAGGTAATGGTGTTATGGATGCTTTGGGCAGAATTCTTGTTGAAATAAGCTGTTTTGCCTTCTTCCTTGTGCTAGCAGAAGGAAACGGGGCTTCACCATGACCTGGATGGGAAAACTGATGTCAGTGGAATTATTCTGCCCTTTCCCTATGTCCTCCCCCAAATGTTGGGGCGGGTTGAGCTGGGTTTCCTGGGATGAGCAAGTTTCCTGGGATGAGGAAGACCAGCAGTGCTAGTTTGACATCAGTTTGAAGTGTTTGTGAAACTACTGCGTTACAAGGGTACTTTCTTTCCACAGACAGATAGGTGGTGGTGCCTCAGTGATGATAACCATAGATACCCTTGAGAAACAGTCTCATTTGGCCTCTTATTTAATACCTTCTAATAGTACATGTTGGAGTAGCCCTTTAAAAAAAACAAAATTCACTTTCATTTTCTTAGGGAATTACTGATTGGTAATTTTTTCTAGAATTGCAGTCTGAAACATACTTTAATTTTTCCTGGCAGTTTTCTATTTTCTGCCATATTTCCCTTCTTTGTGATCTTATACGGCCTTCAAGCTGTGTGACTAGGTATTGAGTAGGCTGTGACTCAGCGTACAAGAGTAAGGAAGGGTCAGTGCACAAATGGATTTGTCCCAGCAACTATCTCTGAGTCATGGCTCTTCCTCTGCCTCTATCTTGCTTTTTGGGAGGTGAAAAAATGTACCACTGAAGTGTGCCAGCAGTAAATTACTATTTGTCCCACACTGGTTTTGCTAACCGTGCCAGAGCATAGCATTAAAAGTTTAATAGGTGAGTAATTGAAAAAGCATTGTGGTTTCTTTAACGTTCTCGGTTTTGCTTGGATTGGGCTAAATTGTGGTTCTAACATACAGCTGTTGCTTGCAAGATGTCATCACTTGTCTTTTTAAGATTTTCTCTCTAAAACTGCATTGATGGATAGTTTTTTGGGTAGAATAAAGTATTAATTGCTCCACAAAATGTATATGCTATTTTTACTAAAGATTCAGGATGCACAATGCAAACTTGCAGCAGAAAAGACCTGAAAGATGAGACTCGACTTCTGTCCACGACCATAAATTTCATTACCACAGCTGCTACATTGTTCCATGCTGCTATTTCTTAAAAACTACTTTTCAGTGATCTTTTTTGCACGTGCATTTCTTACAGTTATTTAAATGATTGATGGACTGAGATAACAGGAATAATAGAAACAATTTAGTGGGCAGTAGCTTGTCTGACAGCCAATACAACTGATGAAGTTGAGAATTGTAGAATCATAGAATGGTTTGGGGTGGAAGGGACCTTAAAGATCATCCAGTTCCCAGTTCCAACCCCCTGCCATAGGCAGTGACACCTTCCACTAGACCAGGTTGCTCCAAGACCCATCCAACCTGGCCTTGAACACTGCCAGGGAGGGGGCAACCACAGCTTCTCTGGGCAACCTGTTCCAGTGCCTCACCACCCTCACAGTGAAGATTTTCTTCCTAATGTCTCATCTAATTCATGTTCTTTTCTGTTGGAGAGTTAAAAATCTGTCACTGTTACTAATGGTAATATGTGGACCAACAGAATTGTTACACTGATAACTTCTTTAGCAGCAAAAGTTCTTCCACCTCCATCCAACCTGGACTACTCATTTATCCAAATCTGCACCCTGAACTGGACATGGACCCCCCCCGAGAATGTCAGCAGTAGCTGTGACCTGGAGTATTCCAGTGACATTGTGATAGATGAGGTCCCTCAGGATAAAAGAGTAAGTGCATCGCCTCTAAACTCTGCTATGCTCCTGTAAATGTCTTGCTGTGGTAAAACTCTGTGTGTGTAAGCATATATAGATATATATATATATAGATATATATAGATATATAAAAACATGTATAAATACAGTTTTAATATAGCCTTTAATTCTTGTCATGGGATCAAAACTTCAAAACTGAGTCATACCAGCATGTGGGATCTTCAGATCAGAAAAATCTGTTTGTTGTGCTCTGATAATTGAGCTGCTACTGATAACACAGAACTACCATAATAATAATGTGGAAAGACTTGTTTCAGTCTTTGCTTATGCAGCTTTCTAGAAAAATAAAATATGCACAGGGCAGCCTACATCCTTAAGGCTTAAATGGGAGTTTGCAACAGCTGATCTCCTTCACTTTGATTTCAATTTAAGAAAGAGGCCTGCACATTAACCTTGGTGCCGCTGTGGTTTTACAGCATAGCGTCTTTTGGAGGTAGTGCCAAGTATTAACATGTTCCCACATTTGCCCTGTCCCTGCTCTTACAGTTATTCATGGTGGGGGTTGTGTTATGAAGACAATGTGGAACACATTTGTCCCCTGGAACAGAAATTATAAACCATCTTTGCTTTAGGCTTTTGTTTTCGTGTCTGTGTTAGATGGTTTGCAGCTGAGATGTGATCTTTAGTGTTAGGACTGACTGGTGGTCAGGACTGAGAGCAGCATTGCCACGGTCCTGAAGGGGCTGTAGGACAAATATTTTTACGATTTATTGCCAGTAAGCTAATATGCTATCAGTCCATAATTCCAAACTGTGAGAATTTGAAGCCTTAAATATGCACCAACTGTGGGGTTGGCAGTGCTGCTATCTCGGATATGGTTAAAATCGATACAATGCCTCGTGAAGCAGTCTTTTGTTGTTGAGCCCTAGTACATTTTTGTGGCCTGATGTTTACAATGGCCTCTTCATGGTGACTGCTATATTCTTTCTGACAGCTCCAGGATATCCTGGACTTGAAGTGAGGCTGTGGTTTCACAACAGCTGAGCTGATTTAATGACTCAACACCGCTAAAAGGGTGGCGCTTCATTTTTGAGGCTCCCTTCTCTAGTGATCTTCATCGGACCTGTGGATGAGCCAGTTGAACTTCCTAACTCAGCAGAAACCTACTTGCCTCTTGTGATGGGTTCACTAACAAGTTGAACATCTACTTGGTTAATGGCCTGAATGAGTTTAAGGAAGGGTCTAACAGATGTTAACGTCAGCGGCAGTGAAAGAGCTGTGGGACAGAGGTTTCACATGACAGGACGAGCCAGACTGTGTATCATCTTGCTGCACCTTTTTGCATTACAGCTGGTGGAGCCTAGTCAGTTCATTGCTGTTTGATTTCCTTGCCCTCTCATTAGTGCCGGTAATTTTTTTTTTTTTTAATTTTTTTTTTTTTTTTTAAAATACCCAAGTGGTTACACCATTCTTTGGTCATAACAAAAATTTTTTTTTTTATATCCTGTTTCAAATTAACAGCATTAAGATGCTTTTTAGCATCTGCCTGGTCCAATAAAAGACGCTTAAGAAAGTGTGTGATAAAAGAGTAAGCCTTTTTCTCACAAAAGCACATACTCTTTTCTGAAAATGGAAGCTGATGGACTATGTGGGCCGATGTGGTGTCACTGTATTTAATAGCCATTTGTGGATTTGTTTTGATAACTTTTTTTCTTTTGCTCCTTCAATCCGTGCAAACTCTTCTCATTGCTTTTTGGTGATGTTTCCAAGTGTTCTTTTGTCTGTTCATCATGCACTTGTGTGCGCACACAGAGAAAAATGAAGGTTAGATCTGTAAGCTCCTGTTTATATAGTTGTAGTATAAACATGCTTATTTTGTATTATCCGTGAAGACTTACTCTAGGATCACTTTCCCCCACACTATGCTTGTTCCTTGATTTCTGTGTGGCCTTTGCTTGTGTCTATAGGTTACTGGAGTAGAAGTAGTTTTCCTTTTGGTGAGTTCTGAATGCACCTGATGAGGAAAAAGAAAAGCTAAGTGACGCTGAGGCGTTCCACGTTGTCAGACACTAATTTCGTTTGGCTTTGAGTTGCAGTCTTTCTGAGGGGCTGTAGTGTATTCTTACACTAATGGTAATTCCCATGTGTCTGATACGCTATGCCAAATGTTCAGGTTTTCTTTCCCTCTCGTCTAAACCCAGGAATGGAGTAAGAGTCGCTTCCGTGTGACAGATACGTTCTTGAATGAGGAAATGCGTTTCCAAGTGAGAAGTGAATGCAAGCACGATAACACCAGCGAGCCCAGCCAATGGGTGGAGACCTCACTTCTGCCAAAAGGTAACATGGGCAGTGGCCAGACCTGAGACAGACCTGCCTCTCTTGACCTGAGGAGACCCAGCCTTGTTTTCTTTGCTGTTTTAGCAAAATATCATACAGAAATAGGGAGATACCAGACACGAGGGCTAGTTCAATTGACAAAGCTTAAACAGAATGATTATACTACACTTAAATGCAACTGGAGTCTTCTGACCCTTAAAAACTTAGAGGCAAGCTCTTCCAAGACGACAGTGTGATTGCTGTCATTCCTCTTGTCCCTGCCACGCTGTGGTTGTTGGATAAAAATTTACTTAAGTTGTATGAAGCCTGCTGACTTCATGACTAATCTCTTAAGTCAGTTTATTTTGTATGATTTTTCTGTACAAGCAGAAGTCCCTAAAATAACCCTATATTTGTAACTGTTAGAGGGACGAATCTAGTGAATTTAACAACTTGTTCAATAAATGACTAAATTAGAGTAGTGTTCTCTTTTGAAAAAGAGATGATTGGGGACTACAAAGACTACAGAGAAAAAATGGTTTTTGTTTCTTGACATCCAGAAATAAGGAGTCTGTAGAAAAATTGTTAGGAAGCAGACTTTAAGGAATATAAATATTCTGCTGGATGTTGGAAGTCAGGAAGTACAGCACGGAAGTGGAGCCTCTTGCCTTGACTAGTAAAAGTCTCTCTAACCTGGGAGCATGACTTGATGTGGGTGAAAACCACATGTGGATGGGAGAACCTGAAACCTTATCAGGCTTGTATGCGTGTCTGTGAAGAGTATTCTGGAAAATCAGGGAAGCAAGTCACTAGGACAGCGTGTGCTAAACAGTTTGGGGCTCTTAAAAGTCTGCTTGCAGATAAAATTTTAAAATATTTCTTGGAATAGGAAAGCTAGTTTCATTTTCCTATACTCTTAGGCAGTTGCTACTTCAGGGAGAATGCAAGCTTGGCAGTAGAAGGTAATTTGGAGTTTTCTATAAGTAAGTCTGGACTGTTGATAAAATTAACATGCATTTTATTTTTATTTCATGGAGATGTTGCCACTTGTTACAAGGAGAAAATATCTGTTGTGCTGTAACATGATAATACAGTATAAAGAACTTGTATCATACAAAAATGCAAGATGAAGGACTTTATTCCATAATTGCTCTGGCTGGGAGATACATTGATGTCTCTATTCAGAATTGCTATGTACTCATTTGTATTTATGTTCTGTAATTTGGGTTTTCAAAATGTTGAAGTTGAATGTCTAGAGGTATATGGGTCTCAGTTAAAAATTCAACTTACCCAGTGTTGCTTTTCTCCATATTTAAGATCTACAGGTATTTCCATACTCAGAATACTGAGAAATTAATAGTGTATCTGGAGAAGATAACTATAATTAAATGCTGGCTAATTTTAGTGTGATGGCTGTAATAACTATAACAAAGCTAAGTGCTATCCTTAACTCCTTTGTAAAGTATCTGTAGTTTAATAGAACAAGATGTTTTCCTGACTCAACTCAACTTTGTCCTTAGCATCAGGTAACTCTAAGTAGTAATTCAGATGTGGTGGAAACTGAGATTCACTGTTATGATTAGCTTGCTGAGATTTCAGCTATTGCAAGCAATAAACTGGAATAAACAAGCAAATAACTGGAATTAATCACTTGCTGTGCTGATAGACAGTGCAGCCTGAGAGGTAACCTATCTTGGCCTTCCGGTTTCAGTTGTGTAAAAAGGGATGTTTTACTTCCGGAAACTGGTGAGAGACTTTTCTGGCAAAATAAATCTTAGAGACCTTTCCAACTTGCCTTGCAGGTATTCCAGGTACTGCTGCTGTTGACTTGAGCTGTGTTTGGCACAATTTGGAATACATGGTTTGTACGTGGCGTCCTGGGGAGAATGCAAGCAGTGATACCAATTACACGTTGTTCTACTGGTTTGTGTGAACTTTTTATTCCCAACGCTAAAGTGCTTTAGCACTAAACTTTAGTTTTACGTTACACATTTTACTTGTCTGCTTCCTATTGCTTTGAAAGGTCCCAGGGCACTGCATACAAGTTAGTGTTGGGTCCTGTCCAACAAAAAGCTTTTGCTGCTGAAGGGTCAAGAGGTTGCCGTTGCTTTTTGGGAAGTTGATTTAACTATTATGTGAAGCACTGGCTGCTTCTGTAGCCCATTTTAAAATAAGTGCTATTGCTTTCTTTTTTTCTAATTGTGGATTCAAAGAGGGAAGAATTAAGAACTGAGCTAGACCGATATATTAATTGCTTTCTTTGCAGCCCAACAACATGGGCCGTTTAAGGTAGAATCACTCACTAATGTGTGCGTCAGCTCTTAAATCATTAGAAAATTGTATGAAAGCATTAATAACACTTAGCAGCAGTTTTGTTTGTCTTCGATGTCATAAATAACGGATTCACCTTGAAAGTTATGGGGAACATCATTTTATTATCATCATCCCCCCTTGCCTGCTGACTGCCATAAATAGACTCTTGTTCCGAAGGAACGGAGTTGTGGTGTGAGCAAAAACTTGGCATTGAGATCTGTGCATGCTAATCTGTGCGCAATTCTGCATGTTGTTGGGGCTTGTGAAATGCCAGATTGCATTAACTTCTGTAGAAATACTGAAGTTTTCTTTCTGAAAGCCCCTTGTTGTAGTTTTATCATCTTTCTGTCGTATCTGAACTAACTAGATAAACTTTCCTCTTCCTCTCCAGTGGCAGTCTCGTAGGCTAGCTGTTCAATTTAAAGCATTTGGACAGCAAACAGCAGAAAACTTGCTGCTTTAGTTAAATGCAGGGAGGACTGTTCTTTCTCTAAACTGCTGCTGAAATAGATTTTTTTCTTTATCACAAGAACAGTACAAATGAGAAGTTGAAGATCTGGATTTCTGGGTATATGGATACTTACTGGACTAATGCTTTAGATTAGAGCTACATACTTTCAACTTACACCTTAATTTTCATGAAAGATGTAGCTGTAGCAGAAGCAAAGAGTTTTGATTTATGCTGCTTAGAAAGAAAAAGACTTCTTTTTATTTTAAAGCTGAAAACTAAGGAAATACTTGATTTTTGGACTGAAAGATACACTTTCCATAATGCAGGTGAGGTGTGTTTGGGGTTTTATTTGTTTGGTTTGGGGGGGGGGGGATTAATGTGTTGGGATTTTTTCCAGAAATGACTGAACAATGATCTGAAAAATTACTGCTTAGTTCCATTTTATATTCTTCATTAATATTTTCCTCTGAAACCATATGTTTTTGTCCAAAGTGAACATGAATATCACACTAGCTTAGAACAAATGAATCCTATCAGTGCACAGTAGTACTTGTTGAAACGTAGGCTTACGAGAGCAGGTTGATGCATCGGCCGGGTACTGTCAGGTCTGAATGCCCCCCCGCCCCCGTGTTCGTCAGCCCCAGGGCTGGGAGGTGTGAAGGGTGGATAAAAAAGGGGTCTGAAAACAGGACAGTTTTGGCTTCCCCAGCCCCTGCATGTTGAGATGTGAAGTAGGGGAATGCTGCTCCTGAATGAAGCTCTCATTTACTCTATATCACTTTTAGATAAATAAATAAATAAACAAACCCCCAGTTTTCTTAGGAGGAAAAGCTACTGGCATATTTTCGTTGGGACTTGAGGAACAAAGAGAAGCTTCTCTGTTATTGGAAGTGAGTACTGACACTTTGAAAAGCAAATGCAGGCAATAGGTGAAACTTGACCATCTCAAGCGAGAGCTTCCATACCTGAGACATCACTAAAGGAGACTGATCAGCTCATTCTGTCACAGAAGTGAAATTCTGGTGATAGGAAGTGATCCAAATTAAGTTTGCTTTCTAATTTATTTTTTTTTTCTCTTGAAATTGTTTTCCCATATGGACTATGGGAAGCAAAGCTGAAAGCAGCTGTTATCTTTGATGCTTCAATATAAAGGAAACATGCCACTCTTTCTGCTACTTGACACTCTTTACAAAAATAACGTTCTTTCTAAATAGATAAGTTAGAAGCTTCTTACCTTGCTTAGCTTTATTTTCATATGTGCTCTAGCACAGCTTCAGTGCAAGATCGGTCTTTAGAATTTGTAACACAGGTTTAAAAACAAGCTTGCCCCTTGCTGTCCTGTTCTTTTGAAGTTTATAAAAATATTGTTATTCCTATAGGTTTGATGGTTTGGAAAACCATGAGAAGTGTAGCAACTATTCTATGCACCAAGGAATCTCTGGATGCATTTTCGATCTTAGTTTTCCAAAAGTCACCAGTACTTTCCCAGCTATAAGGATTTTGATTAAAGATGAATCTGAAGAAATTAGGCCTGTGTGTGCAAGTAAAAATCCTACCACCCTTGGTAAGTTTAACACCACATTATAAAAAATAATCTAAAGAAGTTTGCTAGCATATTGTGCTTGAGAAGCTTGCACCTCATAAGCTGTGGATGAGACAGTTTGATTAAATGCTCCCTTCTATTGATCTTTGATTTGGGAATTACATAGACAGGATTTGTTTTGGCGGGATAAGGGGTTCATTTTCCACTCATGTTTACTCTTATTCCTTACTTGTTTTTATTCTTTCTTGACCTTTTGGTGCTAGCTTTTGCTGTTCCTAAACTGGTGTAAGTGTAATATTATGCAACATGGGATTTTTGAACAATTTTTGTAAGCAGTCAAGTATTATTTTAACTAGTTCTTCTGTTTTGCATTTCAGTAAAACCTGCTACACCAAGACAAGTCGCACTGTCAAAGATTAATGATGAAATATATGTCAAATGGAACGAATCAGACACCTTTCCAGAAAACTGTTTAGTTTACGAAGTTGCATATCACAATGGTGATTTGGACACCACTCAGATAATTAAAGTAATTTTTTTATTACTTACGGTTAACTGATTTTTTTTTTCCTGTGTATGCTTTATAACTTGTGTTGATATTAACAGTTACTCAAATATTTGCTGTTTAACAATGAAAAATTGTGTGCTGCATGTAAATGGGTCTGGTGCACTAGCTGGAAGTGTTGTGTGGACATTTTCTCCCGTATGTTAGGCTTCTGGCAGTAATACTATACAATGTAATTCATGTGAGTCTTGAATCCTTGCCATCATTTGCTATGGCAAAGCAGTAATGTGTAAGAACAGTCTGATAAAGAAACATACACTAAACTAAACAATACTTACCAGGAAATACACTGCAGTGCATGTACCTGTTTGCTTCTCAGAGATAAGGGACTTTGATCTCTTGGTGTTGGGATTTCCTGTCATTGGTCTGCTCTTGGTCAGATGACTGCCTTGTTCTTGAAAGCAAAATTAATTACTGGTGCACACAAGAACACAGAATGTTATACAGAAAAGCAAGGGGTTAAAAAGACTGAGGATGGAGGGGAAGATAAAAGGTGTGCACTCTTGGATACACTGATTTTAATGTGTGTGTAAGAAGCACTGAGTTCAGTGTCTGGATATACTCATGGCTGTATCTCCATAGCCAAACAGAGCATACTGTTTGATCAGAATGCTAAACAACCTGACAAATTCAGAAGTAAGGTGACAGTCTTCTCCTGTAGAGCATATTTAGTTGTTTCTCCTATGCCAAACTTAGCCAACTCAAATGTTATCAACATTCTTCAGGAAGCTGGCATTTTGGATCAAAAATAAGTGAAGTTCCATCCCATCTAGTGTGTGTGTGTGTCTCTCTGTAGAAGCATCACAGAAGACTTTGCTATGGTCAAAGGTAGATCAGCATTGCTGCCCTGACAGAGAGGGGAAGGCAGCATAAATAATAGATGTTTCTTAAAAAAAAAAAAAAAAAAAAAAAAGCACTATCCCAGACACTAAGTCCTAGTTTAATCATTGATGCCAAATGCTACATGTTAGGTATAGCAGTGAATAAGAATAAATCTTAGATTTGGAATCTTTGTTTAGGCAGTCTGTGCTGGTTAAATGCCGCTGTGTCTTTTTTTGTGAAGTTCAGTATTCACAAAAAGGTCTTCTATCAAAACATTCAGAATATGTTGACTGCACAGTGAAAATAGGCTCGTAAATGACTGAGAATACGTTGGTAATTGAACAAAGCAAATTACCTTTTCTTTTTACCTTAGGTTGAAAATACTTATACGTCAATTCCTAGTGTTGATCCTAATCGCAAGTACAGCTTCAAAGTGAGAGCAACACCAAAGCCCGAGTGTTATAGCAGCAAGCTCTATAGTGACTGGAGTGAAGAAAAGAGTATTGGTGAGAACAATTGTTCCTGCAATTTGTTGCACTTTATTCTTCATCTGTAAGGTGTCTACTGAGTCGAAGATGATCTTCCTATGTATCTAGTTTTAGGTGAAGAGAGGGCAAGAGAATTCTAGTCCTTCAGTAGTGCCGTCAGTTGCTGCCTGTACTGCTGTGTATGTTGATGGAGTTGCCATCCATGTAGCTGGACAGTGTCCCCCTTCCAGTGCTGTCAGTTCTTCATCCCTGAGTCTTGCTGGCTTGCATTTTCTTGCCAAATGTATCTACATTACAATATTGTGCTTTGAACACTGAGTCCTTGCCTACAAAAGTGCTAGTGTATTTGAAAAATATTCAGTCTATGAACAAATTGGAGAATTAATTCATTTGTTGTCATTATTCCTAAAAAGCCTTTCAAAACATCCCTAATTTTTGTTTTCCAGGTGAGAAGACAGACTCTGCGTTCTATGTTGGTTTAATAATCACCATTCCATTAGTAGTAGCAGTATCTATGATAATTCTGCTAGTTTATCTAAAAAGGTAAATAACGATCTCCCTTTATTTACAATCCACTAATTCTGATTGGTCTTTGACTTGCATTACAGTTAATCTGCCTGATCTACCTAATCTACAGGTAACTGGCCATGATGTGGCATGTTTCAATAGCATATGTTTTATCCGTATTGCATAACAAAAGTGGCAGCACGATTGTGCCTCAGTTATTGGAATTAGGTTATAGACCATAAAGTATATTTTACCAGATTTTTTGAAAAAGCCGACATTTGCTGCTGTCTTTGTCAGCAGTGAAAGTTATTTAGAATCTGTCTGTGTGAATATTCCCATTTGATTTTAGTTTGGGGAGTAAAAATAAGAATTGGGCATGGTTACACAGAGACTGAAGGTTGGATAGTAATGCCAAAGCTGACTGCACAAATTTCCTTGACTGCACCCAAGTATGACTTTGAAATGGTGATTTTTAAGTTACTGTGTCTTTCATCTAAATATTTTCTTCTTAATTTTCTGAAGGCTGAAGATATTAATTCTTCCACCAATTCCAGACCCTAGAGAAATTCTTAAGCGCATGTTTGGAGAGCAGAATGAGGATTCCCAGGTTAGTAAGAAGCTGTTGGGCCAACTAATCTATTGAACCAGATCTGTAGGCTTCCAATTTTCGTTTTCCTATTACCTATGTCTATCTTAGAACCAACTGTATATAAGTAAGTATATGGTATGACGATTAAGTATTTACAGTAGTAAGAGTTGATTAGAAACAATTACCCAAAACTGAGGGATTTCATTTTTCCCCTCAAATTGCATATACTTTTCTAGATATGTTAGTGGTACATTATTCTGTTATTTCACAGACTGCTAGTCCCTTAAATGTGTTTTGGGTTGGGTTTTTTGGGTGTTGGGTTGTTGGGGGCTTTTTTTGGTGGTGTTCATTGTTTTGTTGTTTTTTTTTTTCCCCTGACTCCATTAAACTACTACTGAACATTCAGGTCTTTCTCTGCTACTTGCTCGTATTTATGATGCTGAATAAAACTATTCATATTTGACTTGCAGAAACTTACCTTTTTAGCACTTTCATGTTTATCAGTCAGTTAGCTATCGAGTAAATCAGGACATTTAGCTTCTCACTGGCAAAAGAGCAAAACTACCTAGAGCTGCTTCAAGCTTTAGTTGATGAAAGGCTTGATATGGGCCCTTATTTCAGGAAAAATAAACATAATGGCGATAATGAGAACTCCTATTTCTAAACAAATCTAACTCAGTAGCTCTTCCTAAAAATCGTAAGGGAAGTACACTGACAAGCCCTAATTCAAGCCTAGACATGAGGCAGTGTATGTTGTTCTCTGAGCACAGTCCTTTGTATGGAAGGGACCTTCTGACTCACTGTGACATCTCAAAATTTATGCCAGCTCTGGAATGTTTGTAGAGGATAATGACTATCTGTGTGTCTGTTGCTGCATGTACATTGGATGCTCTCAGTTGAACAGGAGTTCTGCAGGAATTGCTGACTTTTTGAAAATAAGTCTCTTTTTCTGGCCTCCCAATTGCAAATGGAATCAAGAGTCCAAAATCCACTACTCCCTTTTTCCATAGAAGTATTCTGAGTTCACCTAATAATAAACCAGAACTCTGTGGAAAGCAAAGCATGTATTGGTCATTATGGGACTAAGATGAGACTCTTGGCCATGAGGATCATAAGTATGGCAGCTGTTACACTTTGTTGTGCTTTGTTACTGCCCCAAGTAATACTACATTCTTGCCTCTGAGTATTATCTTGATCCTCTCTATGTGCTTAGGGTCTTGGTGAAAACTCTACTAAACGTGTACATCCTCACTTCTCCATTCTCCTGCTTGAGCTTCACCCATTAGCTGTAGTTGGAAGCACTCTTAAGATGGGGACCAACCTTCGGTTCTTCCTCATTTCCAGGGAGGATAACTCTTCTGTCAGCCAGGCCTAAGCCATGTCCCAAATAAGCACGATTTGTTGCCCAGCTGCCTTGGCTTTTTCACCGTAATAAAGGCTATATGTTGTGAAACAAGCCTGTCTTACTGGGCCGAAAAAACAATGCTTGCCATGAAGAAGTGCTGTTAAAAATGTTGTTGTTCTCTTTCAGAGCTGTGCGAAGGATGATTCTGTGAATGCTTATGACAGGTTAATTAAGGAAGAAGAAATTCATTCTTTAATTTTAACAGAAACTCCAGAGTGCGCTAATTCTGAACAAGAAAAACGATAAACTCTGCTTTACTGATGAAAGATGATGAAACTTGCATTCATGCTCCTGTTCCTCGGGTGACAATGTAGATGTGAAGAGGCCTACAAGACATTCACCAACTTACACCTTACTGTGCCCTCTCTGAGCCTTACTTCTCTGATGCTCGGAAGATATATCACTAACAGTGGCCATTCCTCCATCTCTGCTAGAAATACTCATCTTGGATCATTCAGGATAAGCATGTACATAAATTTCACATGACTGCATTGCAGCATCTCTCATCCTGGCTCCAGCCAGCTCTGCCGTATTACTTGTCATTTGCACTTGTGTTTGTGCCCCAAGTTAGACTGCAAATGGGTTTTTTGGAGCAAGCACTGTGATGTCTCTGAAGTATTTGGCTCTATTTTGCAGCAGATGAGATGAGGCTATGGCTCAGTGCTACTATGTGGAACTGCTGCCAGGTGGGATGCCAGAGCATGGACCGTTTGTGGATGGCCTGTTTCATGTACTCTAGGGCAGGGCGCTTTCCAAAGGGCCTGACCTTCTTATGCTTCTGGCTGATGTGTGTCAGCTGTGGCTTGGTCAAACCCCATAAGAGGGTTGTTTTTTTCTTTAAAATGTGTATGAAAAGCCTCTCCACTTTCCAGGTGGTATTCAGACTATTCATAGAAAAGGCTAAGTTTTTTTTAATCCATTCAAGTGCCTGTCCTCAGATGCCTTGCCTTCATGGACTTCTTGGGTTCATTATACTTTGTTTAAATTGATAAATGGAATTTTTTACTTGCGTTGTGCAGTGGCAGGTAACTGTATTGAGTCTCACCAGACTGTGATTCCACTTTGGCCATATTGGCCTGAAAACACCTGATTTTTGGAAGCTAAGTCATCCTGAGTCTATCCAGCAAAACTGCCAGGATGGATGCATGAGTCTAAGGACCTGTGGTCCAATTGGTTAGCAAATGCAAAACCACTGAAACCGAATTAGTTCACAGACTTCAAGACTAATCCTTAACTGCTGAGCTGATGGATTTGCGAGGAGAGAGGATGACCACTTCGGCCTGCTTTCTAAGGGACAAGCTTTATTCTTTTCATAGTGATGAGGCTGTGATTTGAACTTCCCCTCTAGGAGCTTAGCAATTTAAAACAAGGTGCTGATTTGACTTTAAAAAAAAAAAAATTCTTCTATATTTTACTGCAGCAGCTTAATGACTTTTTTGGCTGTTTTGAGGTTTTTTTGGGGGGGGAGGTTGCTTGTTTGGTTTTTGTGGGGTTTTTTTGTTTAATCATGAGTTGATTTGTTCATTTTTTTATGTTTTTATTTTGAAGTTGCTTTACCCAGCATAAGCCCAACAGGTGTTTTTTGGCACAACTGTGATATTTCTCTGCTCTCAATTCTGAGCATTAGTTTCTACCCTGTGCTGCAAGGCTGTTAATAGCAGTACCGTGATTGTGCTGGAGGCAGAAAGTAATGTGATGGGGAGAAAGAGATCCATGCAAGATGTTTATGGTTAGTGTTCAGGAATTTCTTGCTCTTCCTAGCTAAGTGCAGACATGTTAGTCATTGATATAGTCAATCTTACCAGACTGGGAAGAGGTCTCCTCAGAAGCTTGCTAGGAACAAACTGTATAATGACTAACCTTTTAAGGTCCAGCCCTGTCCTCAAACTCCATTCAATCAAAAATCTGAAATGAAATGCTACCATTTTAGAACATACTGTTCTGTGAGAAGCAGAACTAATGGAGCTTGCTGTTTAGCTACAAATTTACATCCTTTACCTTCTTATGTATTCCTTCCCTCTCAATAAATCAAATTCTTTCCCCAGTTCCCACTGAACCTCTCAAGTATCTCTTATCTACCTCTTGATGCTGGTGGTAGAAAGGGGAGGAGAAACGTAGCAGAATAGCAGACCCCATATTAGCTTAAATCTTTTACTTATTATCAGGCTTAAAAAAAAAAAAAAAGACATTATCAAAATTGGTTAGTGAGACAAAATGAGAATAAAGCCTCAGGGATTTCAATGAGATAGAACAAAACTCAGGTTATACAAAGTCAGCTAGCAGCACTATCTGATATTCCAGAGGTAAAGGAATAGCATGGGGGAAAGGGTGATTAGATTCCTGTGCCAACTTTGTTCACTCACCCCATTTATATCATTATAGTGATAGAAATATTTCTCAAATCTACCTCATCTAAGAGTGTTGCTCATCATAGACCACTCGACAAACAGAATTGTATGATTTCAAGATAAGTAGGCATAAAGTGTAATATAAAGTTTTGTGGCTTTCAGTATAGCAATCTAGGAAGATGATCCATGGTACTTTACCCTAAATTCTTTTTACTTTTGGTGTTTATGGTAAAAACAAAGCTTATTTGTTTGAAAAACAGAAAACCCCATCAAATTCATAAAGCCAAAGGGGTGGAAAAAACCAGATGGAAGGTGCTAGGCCAAAAGGAAGTCTTAAATGTAGAGGATGGTTGAGATCGCTATATAGAAATGTTTTGGGTAATTATTTGTTTCCTGAGTAATAGTAATCGACACGCTTCCTAATGGATGGATTTCTTGAGCCTGTGTTTTATCATATAAAGTGTCTGAGTATATTTTCATCTTTAACATGTCTTGTTCATGGTTAAGGTTTTATTAGCTTGAAATTTCCAAGTTTTGCTATCATTTGTTTGTTCTTCCTTGCAGTTACTTGATCTGTAAGTTTGTTTAAAGAGTGAATAAATATGTTTGAATGTTTTTTCAATATTATAACATGGCATTTCGTTCATGGGTTAAGATAAACTGAGCCAGAAGAGAGGGCAGTGGTTTAATGGGAAACCATGTTTGAGGCATGCAGAACCCAGAGAAGAAAAACTGAGTGTTGCTTTGCCGTCTTCCCTTTCAAACATGAACTCAGCCTGTGCAATCAGTGGGAAGTACTACAGCTGCTGTCCTTTTGGCTGGGGTAATGACACAGAAATGGAGCTGTGCACAAGAGTTGTGCTGGCACTGTCGGTGTGCTCAATGCCATGCTACTTTCTGACTTTGGTGTGTTTTTTCCCAATGCTGTAGAGAGTTAATAAATTCTCAAACTGGAATTTGACTGAGGTTGCTGCAGCCTTACCAAATGTAGCTCCAATATTTTATATCTTTGTTAGCTGCTGAAGTAATTGAAAATGCCAGGTTGCTAAACTGATGAAAGCCATTACCTAGTTGCTTAGACCCAAACGTGTTCAAGTGCCAAATAAACACATTAAGAATGGCTTCTTCAAAAGATTCAGAGAAAGCATACTTTGTTCCCTTCAGTTCAGTGAGCAGATAGTTCAAAATTAAGGCAGAAACTGTGATGTTAAAAAACAAGAGTCTTGAGATTTTTCTTTCCCAGTTCTATAGTTTTGGTGGCAATAATGACCAACGATGACTTTAATCACTCCCCATAAGTGACCTTTTCCTATTTTAATACATTATGTTAAATAATTTAAGTTTTCAGTGTTAAGCATCCTAGAAAAAATAAACACTTCTTTTTTTGTGTGAAATTTAACTTATTTCGCTTAAGGGGTGCCATGACATAGTTGGACAGCTTTAAAAGAGTCAATAAATGAACATGCCAGATTGTAAGCCATAGTGTGTCAACGCTTACTAGGTAGAACTACTCACAGATTGGATATTTCCATTCACTGGAAAGTATTGAATAAACTTAGTTCTGAGTTGGAACTTTGAATATTCATAATTTCCCCTGGAAGGGAAATGTTGGTTTATTTTTCATTTAAAAAAAAAAAAAAAAAAAAGAAAGAAAAAAAAAGAAGAAACTTTCAGTTTTGGAGGGTTTTTACCTTATCCAACCATGAGCAGGAAGCAGGTGAGTGGAAGCCCAGGTATGGTCAGGGTGCTGCAGAAACCTCCCTCCCTTCTTTTCACCCCAGCACTGCCACTGGACAGCAGCTGAGATCTTCATGTCCAAAATGGGTATGGTGAGGCTGGGAGGAGCAGGTCTGGCAGGGTTGTTGAAGGTTCATCAAGATGTTTCTCAAATACTTCAGTTTTACTCGATATTTGCGAAAAAATGTTTCTTGGGAGCAAGCCCCATGGGTTGCATTGCCAGCTGTAGAAATGTGGCTTCTAGATAATACTTAAAATCCAAATGCAAAACCAGATTAAAATCTCTAAAATTGGATGAGCTTCCTGCTAGCTATGTTGAACCATGGTGGAAGTAGGAGACTTGAGATCACTTTGATGTAACTAAATCCACGCTATCACCACAGCAAAGCAATATGGGTTTGGGTGGGAGGCACAAGCACAAGAGAGAGACAAACTTTCTTTCAGGTCCGGAAACTCTGCCTCAGGCTTATAGCACATGAGAGCCTGAAAGCTTGAGGATTTTTAGGGTGTTTCCCCCCCCCCCGTTTAGATTAATTAAATAATTTGGTTTTGCTTGTAAACCTCCTTGTGGTATTTATCTCTAAAGTATCCCTTCTACAGCTCTTCCCTGATTGTTGCCAAATAGTCTTCTGAATGTAGTGGGGAAAGATGATCGCTGCTGTCACTGCAGAGCTGTAAAACAGCCAGTATATTCTAGTAGTATGCTCTGCTCCTTGTTTTGCAAAAGTACTGCAATTATTTTGATGACTCTTGCACAAAGCATGTACAAAGAGATGCTTTCCAGTTAACCAGTACTTCCACTAATCTTACTTTTAACTTATTTCATTGAAGTTTTCCTGTATTTATTTTGGCTCAAACCTTAAAATGGACATGGCTAAGAGCATGATGAGATTGAAAGCTTAATGAGAAAAAGGTTATGTTAAGCTCAGGCACTGTCACTTTTTGGAACCTGGACGAAATTTACTAAGCTAGATCAAAAGTTAGGAGCAGCTTGAACCAGGAGTTAAACTAATGTCTTGCTTTAAAGGTAGAAGTGGCCCTACATCTTCTGTATAAAAAAAAATGCAAACAAACAAACAACTTGGAAAAACCTCAACTGAATATGTGCCTCCTGCTAGGAACAAATTGGTGTGTGCAATGGGCATCCTTTCCTATTGATCT